GCTAAGACGGGCAAAAAATCTCAGTGCAGAGGGTGTTTGCGCCTTGAGAGGCGCAGTGCAAAAAAATAGAAATCGAAGAAAGGTAGGTTCACGTGATGTTTTAACCGCGGGTGCTGGTTTAATTTGAGTTGTGCGCGAAATCTTCTGCTAGTGAACAGCTGACGACAAAGATGGGGACAAGCCTAACATTCTTTTTTTTACCAGAGAAGCATATGATTTAATTCACCAAGTCGGGTTTATGGTCATTAAACAGAATGCGCAACTGTGAGTGAACAGAGGAATATAATCTGGAGAGTTGTGCTAGCTGAGACAGACAGCTACATTCATTCCAAGATTCTCCCTCGATCTTTAAGACAGGGAACTACTTTCTAAACCGGAAAAAAGGTCAATTAGGACAACTGAATATACACTGCATGGTCTAAAAACGTCATAATTAAAAAACCAAATTATGGCCTATTATCGACTACCGAATTGGAAGATGTGACTTCGGAAGAAGTGAGGTCAGGCAAGGGTATCTTTGTACAAACTTTTCATAAAATACATGGGAATTTATTAGGTAATCGAAAACCAATGGAGAAATCCATACTAGCAACGTGGTTATTTTTTCTAAAATCATATTTCATGTTTGAGGCAGCCTATGTTAATGACAAAAACCAGCACAGACATTATAAAATATCAACGTTCAATAACTCTTGATTAGGATAAGAGCTTTCAGAAGATAACTTAGTTTGAAGGTTTTGGTAGACACAAGCTAAAAATCTGTCCTTTTGGACAAAAAATCGAACCCTTTTCATCGAAAGCGAAAAGGTGGACAGGAAAAGGTGTAAATCAGGGAGCCAGATGTTACCAAGGCAAAGCTAAGTTAACTACATGCCCCAACTGTTTACATAGGTCGGGTTTTGACCGCCGTATATAAGCTGCCTCCAGAGAGCGTAAGGTACCAGTTGTTCGTGCCCGAAACTGTAGTCGGAAATAAATTTTGGGATCCATAAAATGACCCACATCTAGCAAATGTTCAGTAATTGATGAACGAGAAGTTCTTTTTTTCCTGTTTCAATAGCCAACTAGGCAAGTGCTCCTCGGCTCTGGCTACCAATTACCCTTGTGTTCACCCTATGTACTTCCATCTGCAAATGCAAGCAGCCGTTAAGCAGGCGTCTCTTTAAAGTATTTAAAATGTTATCACCCTCAAGTGTATTACTCACTTTATGCAGCGAGAGGAAGCAGCCGATGAGCACTCACGAAATGTATGGACCCATTAAATTCTGCTGTTTATGCGATCTTCAAACACACATTGGACTGACTGTGAGATTTGAGTTATCCCGTCAGTTGTTGACCTCCCAGTCTCCAGCTTTTAGCGCACCGCGATTGCATTAAAAGCGTCAGGTTGGACATGGCGGGGAATATGCCGTGAGCCGTCTACCTCACCTCTATTGCAATTTTCAGACCCCAGCCACTATCCAAGCCATTTAGGTGTCTGGTGCGGGGAAGATGGACTTAGAACGATCAATGACGCTGATTAAATCGAGCATGCCTACT